GAAGTGGGAACTGGCACAAAGTTTGGAAACAGTAGCCGGGGACCGGGCCGGTGTCCAGCCCCAGGCCAGCTCTCCACTCCTTCTCCTGCTCACTCTCAGAGCTCATCTCTTTAACCAGGATCAATCGCTGGCACTGGGACTGCCAAGATGGCACAGGATGCCAGGCTGAATGCAGACTTGTGATCCACGAACTCGGAGGTGATAAGTGGATTAAAAGCGAGCCAATTTAGTCGAGTGCGAAGTTTATGGGGGTTTGGCGGAGTTTTGTATTGTTTTGCTTCCTGGGCTTTTAATATAGGGGAAACGAGCGAAATCAGTGAGGTTTCCTCATTCGTCCATGACGCCTTTCCGGTGGTGTCAAGGAGGATGTAAAGTTGAGTCTGAGGACAGGAGCTACAAGAAAAGAAGAACTGAAAAATTAGCCACAGTAGTCTGCCGTATGTTTCTCTTATTTCCCACCTGTGGACTATTTTAAACTTCTGTGTTGCTCTGAATGTATGACAGTGTAGCTGCCCAGGTTTACTTGCCCCTCACCCTGCGTTCAGTGCTCGTGCCCCTGTGTGTGTCTGAAATGAGAGGGTGCCTGTAATTTTGAGTCCCCACCATAGGTGGGTCGTTTTTGGTCTGGACTTTTACTCTCTGGACCTGAATTACTCACCTCTGGTCCCTGCTATCCTAGAGCCCGTGTGCCATGTCCAAGGGCATCAGTCGGAATTCTTACGGTGGATCACTAAGGATGCTTTCGTTCGGCGAGCAGTGATTTATATTCTTAGCGAATGTGACCGCATGAAAAAAAAGCATCACAAAAACCCCCCCCTGCGTCACTGGCACCCGCTGTGCTCTGCTATCCCGCGGCGGATGGTGGTCCCATGCTGCGTAGCCGTGCGCGCGGCGTGTCACGGTTCCAAGTGATGTCCCAGCGACCGGTGGCGCCCTCTGGGGCTGATGGGAGGTGGTGCGGGACTGTAAACGCAGCAGCCCTGCTCTGCTGATGCCGGGTGGCCTTCCCATAATGCAGCAGCTCCGTCAAATCAGCGTAATCCCAGCCACCGAGTGCGACGTGCGTCTCGTATCGAGGTCAGTCCTGCGCTGGCTTCACGGCCGGCGGTTCTTCATTCTGCCAGCAGCTGGCCTTCGTGTTTGTTCTTTCTTCAGTGATCCAAGCCCCCCCCCCTCCTCCCCATAATGACAGGAAGAACATTCCGGATTATCCGCCCCTCTTCTCCACAGTTCTTGGATCTGATATCAGCCGCTCGCCACCACGGTCTACAGTACCACTCAAAAGTTTGGACACACCTACCCAAAGAAAGATGTATTTGTACTGTTCACTACATTTTTTTTATAATTGTGAAAGCATCAAAACTATAAAATAACAAATATGAAATTATGCACTGACCAAAAAATTTATTATTTATTATTAAGCAAAGCAATAACTTGTTTAGCCTGGTGGGTGGGGACTCAGAAGGTTGCCGGTTCAAATCCCTGGGTCCCACCACTGGACCCTTGAGCAAGGCCCTTAACCCCAACTGCTCCAGTGACTGGCTGACCCTACATTCTCCTCTACGCCAGTTTCATTGGGTGGCCTCCTGGGATGCTTTTCCAGCTGTCCTGAAGGAGGCCCCACGTATATGCTGAGCTCTCATTGGCCAGTTTTCCTTCACTCTCTGGACAAACTCATTCAAAACCATTTCTGTATATAGGGTTAGGTGGTCAGGTCATGTGATGTGACACTATCACCCCCCCCCCCCTATGTAGGTGGCTTGGCATGTCCAAACTTTAGACAGGTACTATACTTCCATTTTTAGTTCTCGACCCCCCCCCCACCCCCAAATCAGATGTCCCACCCCCCACCCCAAATACATTTTATGTGCTGATTAAACGTCATGCCCAAGGTTGGGTTAAAGCAGTGTTTCCCAGTCCAGTCCTTGGGGACCCACAGACAGTTCATTTTTTTACTACCAGAAGCAAAAATGTGGATCGACTTTGGGTCCCCCAGGACTGGGTTGGGAAACACTGGGTTAAAGAATCAGTCTGATTTAGCGGAGGATTGCATCAGTCACTCCCCTCCACTTCAGCCATGTTGAGGCCCCTGTCACGCCTGCGGTACCTGTGATGGTGGCTGGTCATGGTGGTGCGATGCCATCCGGCTGACGATGATGCTGTCACACCGCTGCTGCTGCTGGGCTTTTGTCAGCATCCAGTGAACAGGTGTAGAAATGATTGTGGCTCAACAGGTTAGGTCTCCGCGCCTCTGATCAGAAGGTTGCCAGTTTGAATTCCCTCCTTGGCAGAATAGTTACATGCCGCAAGTTTTTTTGGGCCCTTGAGCAAATATGTTAGTCACCCATCAATGATTTATAGGTGTTTTTGATGTGCATGTGTCTTCTGAGCATCTTGTGTCTAAAACTTCAATTTGAAATGGTGTAGCTCATTTAGATATTAACGTACCCACAAAGAAATTCAGCTCTAAGCCCATTCAGTCCAAAACAGGTAAATATATGAAGAAGGAGATATGCACAGTGTATCTGTACATATGTTTGCATATCACCAGAGACAAAATGTGTGTTTGTGTGTCTCTCTCTGTCTGTCTGTCTGTCGTTGGAGACTAAATTTACAATGTTGTTCACTACCGTGAAATATCAGAGAAGAGCACTGGGAATTATGTTGAACGATGATCCCATCCCGGCATGGGGATTTGGTGTGAATGCAGAAGGATGCAGAGGTGGAAAGTTCAGATTCAAAAAGTCCGGTCCAAGATTTTGTTTCAACCAGCCAGCTGAGTACTCTGTAAATATGACTCTTTATACTCACCTGTTTGGTTGAAACAAAGTCTTAGTCTGGATATGTATTTTATGAACCTTAACTTTTCTCCTCTGGAAGGATGGGACTCGCTGATACGCTGTGAATGGTCATGTGGCATGAGTGCTGTCAGAAGCAGTCAGGCCAGTGAGGTACAGCCCACTGGGAGGGTGCAAGTGAAGGAAAGGGCATCCCAGGGGGCTCAGTCAATGTGCACCTGAAATCCGTTCTTTAGGGAGAGACAGGGAATGCTGGTTGTGGAAGAATAACTTAGGTGTAGGTGCAGGACATCCAAGGAGTTCAAATCCTTCAGTTGTCAGTGTGTATGTTCATATGAGGTCTGTGCCCATGTCTGGTAGGTTGTGGGTTCAAATCCCTCATACCTTAATCCCAGTTGCTCCAGTGGCCTTAGTTATATATAAATAAATTTGTATAAATTTCACGTTTGATACAGTGTGATTTAAAATACTGATTGTAAGGGAAACATCCATAAGACATATGTCATATTAAATTTAAATTTTAAGAACATTTCCCTTAGTGCCTGACATTGATGTCTGGAATGAATCCTTGTCCTGATCATCGCTTATTGTGTCATGCAGGATTCTCAGGAAAGGAGGTGATTGAACCCTGTGGCCCCGGAGACTGGACCACATCTCCTCAGCCATGCCCCCCCTCTGCTTTCCACACGTCTCTAAAACCCACTTCCTCGTCCTGCTCTTAGGGGTGGTGCAGCTCTGCCACGCAGGGTCCCATAACCTCACCCCCAATAAATCACCTGCAAACTGCTCTGGGAGCGATGGTTGTGTTGAGGGGGTGGTCCTTCCCGTTTGGAACCCCCAAAACCCCTCGGTGGGGGACAAGGTGGCCCGGGCCATCGTTTACTTCGTGGCGCTCATCTATATGTTCCTGGGCATGTCAATCATTGCCGACCGCTTCATGTCTTCCATCGAGGTCATCACCTCGCAAGAGAAGGAGATCACCATCAAGAAGCCCAACGGTGAGTCTACCACTGCCACTGTGCGCATCTGGAACGAGACTGTCTCCAACCTGACCCTCATGGCGCTGGGCTCCTCGGCCCCCGAGATCCTGCTCTCCGTTATCGAGGTGTGCGGCCACAAGTTCGACGCCGGCGAGATGGGCCCCAGCACCATCGTGGGCAGCGCTGCCTTCAACATGTTCGTCATCATTGCCCTCTGTGTCTACGTGGTACCAGACGGCGAGACCCGCAAGATCCGGCACCTGCGGGTCTTCTTCGTCACGGCCGCCTGGAGCATCTTCGCCTACGTCTGGCTGTACCTCATCCTGTCGGTCTTCTCTCCGGGCGTGGTGGAGGTGTGGGAGGCTGTGCTCACCTTCCTCTTCTTCCCGCTCTGCGTGGTGCAGGCCTGGGTCGCCGACCGCCGTCTGCTCTTCTACAAGTACGTCCAGAAGCGTTACCGTGCCGACAAAAGCCGCGGCATCATCATCGAGACGGAGGGCGATGGAATCTTCACCAAGATGGACATGGAGATGGGGACCAATTCGCACCACAAGGAAGCTCTTGATGGCATGTTAGCTGGTATGGAGGAGAGTGGATTGGGCGGTGGAGCTGGGGGGCGGGACCAGGAGGAAGAGGCACGACGGGAGATGGCACGCACCCTCAAGGAACTCAAGCAGAAGCACCCAGAGAAGGACGTGGAGCAGCTGATCGAGATGGCCAACTATCAGGTGCTGGTGCAGCAGCAGAAGAGCCGCGCCTTCTACCGCATCCAGGCCACGCGCATGATGATTGGCGCCGGCAACATCCTGAAGAAGCACGCTGCCGACCAGGCGCGCAAGGTGGTGAGCTGCCACGAGGCACGTGCCCAGGAGGACGACCCCCACACCGCGCGGCTGCTCTTCCAGCCCTCGCACTACCAGTGCTTCGAGAACTGCGGCTCGCTCAAGGTGGCCGTGGCCCGGCAGGGGGGCGACGGCAACTGTACCGTCAAGGGGGGGGGGGGGGGGGTATTATGGTGTCATGATATCAGGTGTAATCCTCTCCTGGCCTGACAGTGAGTCACCAAAGCCACTAAGCAGAGGTGGGAAGTTCTGGTGCAGAAAGTAAAAATCCAGACCAAGATTTTGCTTCAGCCAACCAGTTGAGTACTCTGTGACATCACCCTACCCACTACAGCCACGCCCCCTTCACATCACTTCCTGTTTTCTAACACTTCCTGCAGGTATATGCAGTGCATGGCATTCACAGCAGGATGAGACAGGTAGGGTGACCACCTAATCCATGTCAGGAGGGACACTATGAGCTACATTAGGATTTATAAACTACCATTTCATACATTTCAATTAAAAGGACCAGGATTTCACTTAAGCACTGGGTTCTTGCCGTATGCTGATTGGTCAGTCTCCTATAATCATGCATATGTGTCAGTAATGTTAATGCGAAACAGCTGGATGAGTCTTTCAATCTAGGAACTAACCAAACATTTTAGCAGAGCACAGAATCCTTTCAGCTTTAAAGTAGTTCGTAAAAGCTGAAGTAGCTCATAGTGTCCCTCCTGACATGGATTAGGTGGTCACCCTAGAGACAGGTCACCCAAATGACATATTTACAAAAACCTCAAAATAGCAAATGGGTTGCAGGATTTATTATCATAATATTTGCTGCAGTTACAGGATTCAGAGAGAGCTGACAGGTCACCAATATCACATCTTAACAGAGACATAAATTAGTAAATGGAACAATGTTTGTGTTCAGTATTTCTTCAATGGCTTCTAAGGGGGGGGGGGTGACTGGTTATTGTTAGTTACTGGTCATCAGATTTGCCACTTTCACCCATCACACCTGCTTGAGAATGTGGATTCACATTTAACCAAAACAAGAGGTGCACTGACTGACTTTAGCTGTTTATAATACTGCAGTACATTCAAATAACCAGCCTTTTTATAAAGCACTGTGCACAAATAATAAGAGGCTGCTTTGTCTCTAAAATGAAAATTCTTACTTCAGTCGGCCTCCTGGGAGCCAAGGTCTATGTAGCAATAAGCAATTCTGCTATTGTGTTGAGCCGCAACAGCAGCTGTGGTTCCGGTGTCCGACACGCCGGTGTCATTGTCTGTCTGGGATGGGAATGATTATTATTTCATGTAACGGGGGACACCAACGATTTTCCGGGAGCCTGCGAGCGATCCGTGAGATAACAGTGAACGTCCTATGAAATGTCAATACTGAATTATTAAAGAAATAAGCCTGAAAAACCAAATAATCTTTGGGCCCGGTGACTTGAAGCAAAGTTGGGAAAAGTTTCACTTTAATTTTCTTGGCTTTTTAATTGTTTGTTGCATTGAAGGATGATAATATTTATAGGTCGCAGTGCTGGGATGCATTCAGCGAGGTCACGACCAGATGGGGCGTCTGGAGTCTGGGGCAGATCACACTGATGTTCTGTCCCTTTGCCGTCCTCGTCGCCGGGTCAGGTGGATTACCGCACGGAGGACGGTACAGCCAACGCGGGCTCCGATTATGAATTCGCCGAAGGCACGCTGGTCTTCAAGCCCGGTGAGACCATCAAGGAGCTGACAGTGGGCATCATCGATGACGACATCTTTGAGGAAGACGAGTACTTCTACGTACACCTCAGCAACCCCTGCGTGGTCCATCAGGCAGAAAACGCCATCTTCGAGCCTGGACCCATCACCCTGGGCAACTGCCCAGCTCCGCCCCTGTCCTTGACCCCGGGAGTGGCAAAGGCAGCTCTGGGCGCCGCCCACACGGCCACGGTGACCATCTACGACGACGACCACGCAGGCATCTTCACGTTCGAGGGTGCGTCAACACGCGTCAGCGAGAGCGTGGGCACCATGCAGGTGAAAGTGCAGCGCACGTCGGGGGCTCGTGGCCTGGTGGCTGTCCCCTTCCGCACCATGGACGGCACCGCCAAGGGCGGGGAGGACTACGAGGAGGTGTCGGGGAAGCTTGAGTTCCTCAACGACGAGACCATGTGAGTCCCGCTCATTCCTCAAACAAAACTGCAGGCAGTCGCACAACATGATTCATTTATTATACGACCACATGTAACCTGCTTCCGCTTACATTGGATGAGCAGTGGTGACTTATGGCCATAGTGAGCCACAAGGTAATGTTCCTGTCTGTGATGTAAATGAATCAGCTGGATGCTGGGACACGGCATCCTGACGAGAATTTACACTCCTGTACTCCAGCTCTACTTACTCGCAAAGGGGGCAGTTCTGATCCATAGTCCACTGCACGTGATAAGCCCAGTTCTGATCTGGTGGGGGGGAGGTGTGTGAATTGACACTCTGAATGAATGCTTATTCATTGATTGGGTCTTAGTCAAGTCAGATTCTATGGAAAAGGGAACGGAGCAATCGGAATGTTGAGTCATGTCGAAAAAGCAAGGGAGTGAAGCTTCTCTAACTGTGCGGAGGAAGGGAGGGCCTGGGGGGGTTCGCTCAGCGGGAGTGGAGTGGGAATCGCGTGCCTCTCATACACAACAGTGCTGATGGGGAGGGGAGAGGAGAGGAGGGGAGCAGAGGGGAGACGAGGTGAGTGGAGGAGATCAGAGAGGATAGTGGAGAGGAGAGAGAAGGGGAGGAGAGGCGGTGAGTAGAGGGGAGGGTAGTGGAGGGGTGGGGAGAGGAGGAGAGAAGGGAGGATGAAGGAGAGGAGTGGAGGGGGGAGGAGGGGAGAGAGGAGAGGGGAGTGGAGAGAAGGGCAGAGGATAAGAGAGGAGGGGAGGGAAAAGGAGAGCAGGGGAGAGGAGAGAAAGTTTGGAAGTTAACAGCACCTGTATGTGTGTGTTACTGTGAGTGATGCACATGTGTGCCTGTGCTTGTGTGTGGACCTGCCTGTTATGAGGATGTGTGACTTTGTGTATGTAAGTTTGCAGGAGCGATTCTTGGATTTTTTTAAGGTGGGGGCCATAAAATGGGCTCTACTGAGGGGTGAACCTTATAATTAGCAAATGATATATTTTGAATGAGTGAGAGAGAGGGGAGGGGGAACACTGTGGGCCAATCAGCTTCCAGCCCATGTGGCCCCACCCCTCTATACACCCCTCTGAGTTTGCCTGTATGCATGAGCATGTGTGGATTCTTCCTCGCCCGCCATTGGTCCACCAGGGCTTCCCTGTTGCCTCCCGTGGGCCCCCACAGATCAGTGGGCCCGGGCAGCTGACAGGGGCCGGGCTCTTTGGGAGCCCTGCAGGGGGCCTCAGTGAGCAGGCTGAGCGCTGAGGTAACAGCTTGTGATGACTGGGTTCCCATGTGGGCTGCGATGCTGACGTGTCACACGCGTGCAGGTCAGCAATAGTTATGACTAGCTGGGATTCCCTGTCCCTGTGGCGTGGATTTGACTGGTCTACAGGAAGAGCTTCGCTGGTGCGGGTGAAGCCTGTGGGTGTGATTTGTTTCGGCTTAGCTGCAGGCAGTAACCGGAGGCTGATTCCCATGTCCCGACGCTTCACCACGGGCTGTACATTGAGCTGTACCAACTCAGCGGCACGGAAACTTTGTTGTGCTTGTGTGTGTGTTAAGCTGTGGAGTTAGGCGCCGTGGGACAGGCGAGGCCTGCAGACCGTTCACTGGCTGGGCTCTGTGAAGCTTGTCGACATATTGTCCATTTCCGATTGCATCTATGTGTCCTGCATGGGGGCATGGGGCATTCCACGATGTTCGGTGGGGGGGGGCTTGGATTGAGGCACCCTGGGTGGCAGCAGGGGCCAGTGACGGTGGACCGATGGTGTGTGGAGCGCCCCCTGGTGGACAGTGGTAATGCAGCCGGCAGTCAGGGAGGCTCAGTAATTATCTGCTCCCTGCCTCGACTGTTATTGCTCCACCTGATTCCCACTCACATTCCCGATATTATTCCTCTCGTTCCCACAGGAACCCCTTTCCATTTTTCCTCAGCTCATATCTCTAACAGCATTATGGTGACTACTCACCAGCCGCTGTCCGTCTCTCTCTTTTCATTTTACACTCCTTTTCTCCCCTTTGCTCCTCGAATTGAGAGCCCTGCCTACTCTGTCTGTGATGGTCATGGGGCAGCGGAGGGTCCGCTCCAACTTGTCACTGTGTCACTGTCGCTGTTGAATCCTGGGTAATATATTTGTTTTTGTGACTCTCAGAAGATTGCATGTTGACGCTTTATAGCATTTACATTGCTGGAAATGTCCTGGAGGTCTGGACTGAGTGCCACCATTTAGGTGCCACAGGTCCAGAAAGTACAAATCCAGACCAAGGTTTTGTTTCAACCAACCAGCTGAGTACTCTGTGACTATGACTCTTGATCCTCAACTGGTTGGTTGAAACAAAACCTTGGTCTGGATTTGTACTTTCTGGACCTGAGCTGTCTGTAACGGATTACTTTTCTGAGTAACTTCCCCAGCACTGGGTGCCAGCATAATTTCTCCTCACTGCTGGGTCTCGTCCCATGTCAGCCTGTCCTCCATGCCTGGGCAACTCTCTCATCCCCTGAAGGCATTCTGTGGGTTTGAGAACCCGGAATGTCAAACTGTTGGGGCGAGACAGAAAATCACGGTTTGAGATGGAAGCAGGTGAAACCCTTTGGGTCTCTGTGGGAGTTTTTGGAGCACTGAGGCTGAACTGACAGGGGCTAGGGGAAGGGAGACGACGAGGGCCAGGGGGTGGACCTCCGACCAGGGACACGCCGCTTCCTGTGCTGTTGGGGGGTTTGCTATAAGGCAATTTTCTTGCTGGTTCATTGAGTGTGCATCTTGTGGAGGTGAACATTGAAGCACGTGATTAAAGATGCAGAGGCGTGCATGACATTAAACACGTGCAGGAAAGCAGAGCTCACGTGCAATCTCCATAATGTCCATGGACACCCGGTTTGTTTACTGTCTGCTCTGATTCCATAACTCACAAAAGAGGCAGTCGTCTGACATCTCAAATGAAGACAAAACACTGTTATTTCACTCCAAGATGGAAATTGCAATGCGAATGGATTTTCTTATTAGATTTATATATTCCCTCAGAAATGAGGAGTCAAGGGCAGAAGCCTCTGCCTGTCTTCTCCTACATCCGTCTGCCTCTTTAAAACCGTCTCCCGCCGCCGTTCTGCCTTAATGTCTCTCCACGTGGGCACCCAAGATTTGCACAACATGAGATGCCTCTCCAATGAGCCATGTCAGATTTCTCTTTTGGTTGGGGAGGACCATACTCTCCCCACCATAAGTGGGGGGCTGGGTGGTTGAGGGAGGCTTATCAATATTCCTGTCATGTCTACTAAGTGAAATGACAGGATTAATCTGCCGTTCTACAATATCTATCTATCTATCTATCTATCTATCTATCTGTCTATCTGTCTGTCTGTCTGTCTGTCTGTCTGTCTGTCTGTTTGTCTGCCTGTCTGTCTGTCTGTCTATCTATCTATCTATCTATCTATCACAGTCTTCTTACTTGACTGGAACATCAGAGAGAGAAAGACTGGACTCATCCTGCTGTTGAGATTCTTGGAAATAGATTAGTGTCTGCTTGCTGTGAGAGGCCTCAGCTTGGGTGACGGTACAGCTTTCATGTTTTGAATGACGACGGCATTTTAGGGCTCTCAAGTTAATAGTCTTCATAAGGGGGGCAGCTCTTTGGTCTGGGGGCTTCATTCAGACCCGGGGAAATGCAGCATTTTCCATTGACTTGCATTGATTTGCTGGTGTTACTGTAACATTCACAAGGTAGGTGTTTGGGGTTGGGCTCCATTAAGATCTGTGGTGTCAATCAGCGTTTTTGAGGGAAAACATTTTTAATCAGACTTTATATCACTCAATGTGCATCTTGTTGCAATAGCAGTATAGCCAGTGGATTGTACAAGGAACGGACAATGAATCCGCAATGCAAAGAGAGATAGCGCCAGTCATGTGATAGCCCGCGTACCTTGGAATTTCTTGTTTCTTTCAAAACCTTCCTCTTGCTGACTGCCTTCCTCTCCTCCTCCTCCTCCCGCCATCCTTATCTTACTCTTTTCCTCTTTAATTCCAATTAAGACTGAGGCTCTGATGTTCTTTGTGGTGCTGACAGCAGCTCAGGCAAACATTACATTCATCTGCTCCTGCATAGGAAATTGAATCTGAGTTTGTACTTCATTATCATCCACTGTCATGTGACTGGGAGGATCAATGCAGGCAGTACACAGTGACTGGGAGGGGAGGAGTGATACTGGGAATGAGTGCTTAGACATTGAAGGGAAGTGTCGGAGTAATTTTAATGAGCAGTGTCACTCTGTATGTGTGTGCACCGCAGTCATTTTTAGAAACGCTTCATGTGATCTGTAATATTATAAAATGGAGTTGAAACGCCTCAGTGGCTTAGCACTGTAGTCTCTCACCTCCGCAGTTGTGGGTTTAATCCTGGCCTCGCCTCTCTGTGCTTGTGTGGGTTTCCTCCCTGTGATGTACTGGCATCCCGTGCAGTGTGAACCCCTGTCCCCACCCACTCACTTCCTGTGTGGGCTTCATGCTGACCAGCACTTTGTACTGGAAAAGCAGTCATGCAAGATGAATGGATGACCACAACTGGTTTCTTAAATAAAGAGAAATAGCCGTCATTAGATAAATCACCATGTATAAAGTCTTGGTATATGCAGTTAGCGTTTTAACCATATTTGATGCAGCTGTATTTGGAATCAGGTAAATGATCATAAAACTATAAGAGCCGACTAAACAACATTCAGAATTGCATGTTGGGGAATTTTTGTCCTGAGCATCCAGTGAGCTGTGGGCTGTTCTGTTGTGTAGTCTGGCCTGTCAGCTTTCCTCTTCTGCCTGGCTGTATTTGCAGACCTGCCCCAGGCCAAAGTCTGTCTTCTTTTATACTGTCTTTTACACTGAGGAGTTATTCAGCCATATCTTCTCCCCTTCTGGGATCTCTTAACAATAAAGTCTGTCTGGAACCTTTTTTTTTATGGTGAAAATGTAATAGAATTAGTGCAAACAGTGGTGGAGAGCTGAGGCAGAACAAGGGCATG